AGAGAGAGAGAGAGAGAGAGAGAGAGAGAGAGAGAGAGAGAGAGAGAGAGAGAGAAAGAGAGAGAGAGAGAGAGAGAGGAGAGAGTAGGGGGAAGAAAGCCGGGCGAATTTCGACATGTGCTACCTGCCGGTGTTTCTGCCGTTGCCGCTGCTGCTGATGATGATGCTGCAGTTTCTGCCGTTGTCGTCGTCGCCGTTGTTGTTATTGTTGCTACAACGTTGCGATAGATGTTACGGTTCTGGTGCGTTGTCGCACGCTTCGCTGAACAAGTGGTTGTTACGTGATAGACAGCTATTCCAGGTTAACATGGCACCCCGCATCTCACCCGCGGTGCAGCTCATCAGTGCAGGCGGAAATGGTTGGGAACCTTGACCTTTCCTCCCCTTGACTAAAACAACGTGCAGTCATTGATCACCGTGGTACAACAAAGAGAGGGACAGCGAGAGAGAGAGAGAGAGGTTTGCTTCAATTTTCATTTCATCATCAACATCAACACCGACTGCAACGAATACGACGCCGGCGACATGACAGCTCCAAAGGAAACAACTTACCACAACCAACACCGGAGATCCCCGCATCTCGTTCGACACCGGCAAGTTCAGCACCTTCTCGAAGAAGGTGCACACCTCCTGAAACGCCGGGGCCCCCTCGGAGGAATCCACCACCGCCGTCTGAAAATCACATCGCCGCAAGGGCATATATACAAACCGGGGGTGGGGGGTCTTCACCAATGTACATGATTTGCCACCAATGGCCGTAGCCTTGACTAGGACTGCCTCGCATGCCTGCACAGGCGAAACAGAGCATGCTTGTATGTCTAAAGGCGGGACTGGGAGAGGGTAGGACACCTGCCTCGAAGAAGGGAGCAATAAAACATGTGTATCATATGTATCCCCCGCCCCAAACTAGGTCTTCATTTTTCTGGTCAACACAATTATCGCACCTTTAGTTTGGTCGGTTCGCATCGCACAGTAGTGAATGCATCCTTGCCAGCATTGATTTGGAGAATGTCTCGGGGGTGATCGCTTGGATATCATCGTTTTCCAAGTGACGGGGAAGTAGCTCTTACATATGATACACACACTTGCGCTGCCGAGGGAGTGTTCCACGCAGAACGAAATGGGCGCGGTTTTCGCTAGGTCGACCTCGAACGCTCTCCCCCACGCAAGGATGATGATGGCCAGCTTTTGGTTCATCCCTGTGCCACCTAGCCTGGGCCGGCGAAAAACCCGGCACATCTCTCCGTTCCGGCATTGTAGGGATGCGAGGTCAACGGTCTAACGACTACGGCATGCGTTCTACATGACTACGCCCCCCCGGTCGGAAGCAGGCAATATGCACCTGTGCGCACGCCATGCACAGCACTCGGCCATCCGACAGCTCAGCGAACGCTCCCTCCCCGCCTTTTCCTGTTGGCTGTGGCATGGGCTCCAGCCGCATGCAGCTGTAGCACCGTGGCGAGCTGTGACAGCAGGGGTAGGTGCGCGAAGGACAACAACAGCAACAACAACCGCAGACGAGGACCGTGTCGACTTGTTACAAAAAAGAAGCACTTGCTTGTCCAATCATCAACGCGGCGCGTGAAGCACGAGATGTGAAGGTGGGGGGACCGGCGGAGGGTTTCAACAGAAGCAGCAGCAGCAGTAGCAGCAGCAGCAATATCAGCACCTGTCGTTATGCCATGGGCAGTACACTTCGTGGAAGAAGTTGTGGCGGTAGAAGTGGATCCGCCCGTCTTGGGCAGGCAGCCGTTCATGGCACACCTGATCATGTTTAGGGAGCAAGGGCACCGGTTTTCTCAAGATCATAACGGCAAAAACAAAAAATGCGACAGCAACAGCAGCAGCAGCAACGACAGCAACAACAACAACAACAACAACAACAACAACAACAACAACAACAACAACGGCAACAACAACAGCAGCAACAACAACAACAGCAACGGCGACAAAGAACCCGTTACTTGCTTGTACCAAGATCATGTGCATTTGGACTCGAAGTAACAGGCTAATCTCCGTAGATGCCGCGGGGCTAATGGGGTACCTTAGGTTGAAAAAGATATTCTCCACATGGGAAAAGTCGGCGACAACATCGCAACCAACAACGACTTCTACTTGTAGTACTTATAATACTTCCTACTACTACGGATACCACTGGAAAACAACAGCAGCCCACCTTGCAGGCGGGAAGGGGCGACTCTCCCCCCGGCATGCAGCCCATGTGGAAACTCTCCCCCATGGCACCCTGGCGAAACACGGCGTCGGTTATCGGCATCGAGCAGCCCGCGCATATACGCACACCCAGTGCGGAAGGGCCTTTCCCCGAAAAGTGACCGATCCCGCCGCCTGGCCACTGTCGATAGCATTCCGGGGGGTATGGGGGTACTCATAGTCGTGCATGGCGTAGTCGTTAGACCATTGACCTCGCATCCCTACAAAGCCGGGACGGAGCACGCCGGGTTCTCACCGGACCAGGCTCTCACATCACATAGCGCGAAGCGCCGTGAGGTATTCGGCGAGTCGCATGAAGGGTGCGCTGCATCCTGGTAAGGGTGTTCCACATCTTGTGCTTACTTCCTTGCGTACGTATGACAGCTACGTATGACTTAATTTATTTTCTGGCGCTTTCGCTTCCAGAGACAGTTATAAGCACTGTGTAACTGCCTCGAGGGTGCTTGACCAAAATAACACAACGTGGTGCGATCATCCCCCTTGCGCGGAGTGAGGCTTCTCGATCCCGCACAACATGATCTCATCAACCACCGTTCATGTTTACCGCAAAAAAGAAACAAGGCAAAAAATAAACGGTAACCTGGTGCCGAGCTCACAAAGTGATCGACTTCTTGTACAACATCGCTGCCAAGCGACGAAAACCCAACACCGATGGCAAACACCGGGGTGCAGGGGGGGGGCGGATTTAAGCGGGCATGAATAATTGTCTTGTGGAAGGGTCAAGATAAAATGGCCATATTAGACACAGCCCGTGGCATACCAATTTCGAGTACAGAAAGGAGAGCCTTTGCATCGCATGCCAAGAGATATGTAGCATGTGGGGCACGTCTCTAGATTGATAATCAAACAATCGCAAAGAGCGTATGCTCATCACAATCCCTTTTTCGACGAAGCCGTTGGCATCCAATAGGTGAGGTGGTGGGGAAGCCAAGACCGGGAGGGGGCCAAGAAAGGGCACCGACTGCGCGCGTCGTCTTCCCAGTTGAACCCGCCCACGTGAGAAGCAACCATCGCTCTCTCTCTCTCTCTCTGCCTCCCTCTCCCTCTCTCGCTTTTCCTCCCTCTCCCTTTCTCTCTCTCTCTCCACTACTCTCCTAGCCTGCCCACGAAGAGTCCCCCCGAAGACCCTACATTCGCGCCAACTCAGGCACCACCCGCACAGCACAGCACAGGGCAGGACAGCTCCCGTGTGCATTCCCGTTACCACCACTCCCTATTTACAACACACCGCCGGTGGGTGGGAAGATATCGTGAGCGACACAACTGTTAACAGCAGAGCCTAGCTTCGCGGGAAAAAAAAAAAACTGCTGGGTCTTCTTCTTACCTGACCCCCGAACCCGCCGCCGAACCCGCCGCCGAACCCGCCGCCGCCGGGGCCCGCAGCATTTTCCGAGAGCCACTGGTCCTGCAGGCGCCTGGCCAGCGCTTCGTCCTCGGCCGCTCGCCCTCTACCGGAGGAGGGGGCCCGTGGCTGGCGCGGCACCAACGACCCCCCTACCGACGAAAGGCCGCGCAGGTTTGTGGATGCATACGTACGTATCGGATTAGAGAGTCTTAGTAAGGACGAAGACAAACAAACACGAACAATTGATGCCATTACTAGTGCCGTGGACAAGTGGCGTTCGTGATTCGGCACGAGAAAGAGAGGTGGAAACGGGGGGGCGAGCCAGGAGTCCTTTGCCGTTGCGGCTGCTTCTGCCGCCGCTGCCGCTGTTACCATACCGGGCCTTGGGGGAAGAAACTCACAACGCCACAAAACCACAACAGCAAATAACGGAACAAGCTGCGCACAGACAGATGATCGCCATGCGCTCACCAAACATTGCGCCCCCGCTCCACGCGCCCCGGCCTTTCCGTACGTCTTCCCCACTAGCACCAGCTCCAGCACCAGCACCAGCATCGCCACCACCCCTGCCTGTCTGGGTGGGAGCGGGGGCGGGCGGGAGCAACGGGACGTCGCTCAGAAATGCCAAGTCTTGGGAGCCGTGGGTGCCGTCGAAGCCTCCCGCGAACGGCGCTGGGTCGGGGTGGGCGCCGCCCTTCTTGCCGCGACCGCCGCCGCCGCTGCTGCTGGCACCGTTGCCCTGAGAGCCAGCATCAGCGGCCTCGTGCATGTCGAGCGAGGCTCCGATGGCGGCGGCGATGGCGGCGGCCTCATCGCCTTGCGTGCCGCCGGCGCCGGCGCCGCCTGCACCCGGACCAATCAAAGGAGAACCGGGAACGCAGATTAATATCGACGACAGCGAACACAAAAGCCACAGCACGAAGCAAGAGCGCAGCAGAGGCACTTGTGGCAGCGCTAGCTTTAGTCAAGAAACACGGCACCGGACGCGGCACATGGCTGTCAGCTTTAGCAGCAGCTTTCGTGGGCGCACTACATACGTACCACATGAACAACAGACACATCTGGATACACAGCGGAAAAGTCAGAAAGAGCAAGCAACGAACAAATCCGAAAGATTACAGCTTCGACACACATACTGTACGTACGTGCGGAAACATTTGCACGAAGACCGGGGGGAGGGGGGGAGAGCGAGATCGGCAAGGTGTTCACAGGCGATACCGACGGACTCTCTGACAATCCGGCTGTCACCATGCGTATTAAAAAAAAACAAAGGTCTAGCCGGTTTCCCTCCACTCACTGACAACTCCAACACATCCCGTTCGACTATGGTTATATCTCGAACGGGTAGAAGTAGTTTTTCTGTGTTTTGTATTTATTCTCCCTAGTAAAAGGTCTGCATATCTATAATACGTCGACTCCCTTACCCGGGATTGAAATCTGCGACCGTCAAAACCCGCTTTTAAACCCTGCACAACAGTCCATGTATCAACCTATCTATGTTTTTGCAACAGCACACTCGTGGCAAGCTATCCGCTGTCGGCGCAACTTTCCACCTTATTCCGTTCCTCCCTCTGAATGTGTTTACTTGAATACTGTCTTGTTGAGCCTGTTACCCACAGGGGAGATATCGCCGTGTGCTGCTCGAGACAGCGTAGAAACAAGCTAGTCTCCACTGACGCTGTCATTTCATTGCTAACGTATCGTGGACTCTTTTCTGGGATTGAGCTAGAATCATATTGAGAGAAAAAAAGATGTACGCCCGTGCTTAGCGCCAAGAGGTTTCGCCCCACTCTCTCGAAAAGACCGAGTCGTGCTCAAAATAGGCGAAATGTCGAGTTGGCGTCGACCAGTTTGATCGTTTACTGAGTATAATAGCTGTACGTATGGACTTTGGTTCATAAATAACAGTAGTAGGTTCAAGGCAGAATCATCCGAGCGTGAACTGTCCTTTTGAGCGGCCATCTTCTTGATTGTTATTGTTCGTTTTATCTTGTTTGGAATCACGTGTGTGTGTGTGCAGAGGGGGAGCGATCGGCCCTTCATTCCTTTGTTCCACGAATCACGGGCGAAGTCTGACTGCCATGTCTCTTCTGTGTTTAGAAAATACACACGACCTCTTTTTTGTGTGTTGCGGTAAAGTGTGTGTGGTATAAGATCCGAAAAGTGCGAATAAACCCTTTTGGGCGGTTTGCCTGGCGGCCACGGAAGGCAAATCAGCGTCTGTTGGACCGGCAAGGGTGTGAAAGAAGTACTTCTAGAAGGTACTGAGCAAGAGACCAGGCCGGTTTTTCAAGACGACAATGAGTGTGTGTGTGGTTTCATTTCTTTTTTAAGGTGCAGTATCTTTGTTTTGGGGGAAGACATACTTGTACATTAAAAAAGAAGTGTAAGAGTTGCGTGGTTGTGTTGCAACCGCCTCGTGTAGTGAATTCATTTTTTATCTTCCGATTCGTGTCCTATTGTTTTTCCGCGTCCGTTCCTCCGCGGCAACAACATTCCCTCTTCCCTCTCGCAGTAAGTCGTTGGGTAACCGTAAAAGGCGACGAGTCGCCCCCCCCCCCCCCCCCCCCCCCCCCCCNACCAAGCTTCTGCCAACACCGAAAATGTTGGTTATGGGGGCGCATCCCGTCGAAGGCTTTCGGTAAAATTATCGAGGACTAGCAACAGACCGTAAATTTTACTGGCTGGAAATATTGGGCTCTTATCATAGCAGTTTGCACCGACTTGGTTGAGAAGCAGTCGGGAGTTGGAAGTCGGTCTAGTAGAGACCGTGCGATCGCTCCGCCGCTTGGGGGATTACTGGCTGCCACATGTTGTAGTTTGGGATTCTCTTACGTTTCGCTTCCAACACAGCGCGATTACAAAGTGCACGTGTTCATTCTGTCCCATTCGCCATTTGCCAACACATGAGCAACTGCTTGCGAAGTTGTTGTGCAGCAGATTTCATGCCGCACTTGACACGTGACACATAGTACTCGAAATAGGCCTTTGCTCCATCGGCCGTTTTATTTTCGATCAAGATATTGTACACAAAACTTTATTTCTGTACTAATTTCAAGTAAATTACACCTTCTTATTCTCCATCATACAAACAAAACGGCCGATGGAGCGAAGGCCTATCTATTACTTGAAGCTGTTGTGGTGACAACGTTGTTGGTGGGTGTGGTGGTGGCGGCAGTGGCGATGGCGATGACATCGCAGTATGTACTGCTGTAACGTCTTTGCGGACCTCTGTCCAGGCCCTCCCTATCTCTCTCTCTCTCTCTCTCTCTCTCTCTCTCTCTCTCTCTCTCTCTCTCTCTCTCCTTGGCTACTTAATGTTGAGATGTAGCATAAAAGCCACAAATCGATCTGATTGATACGATGCTCGAAAAAACCGCCGTTGCTCTTTTAGAACAATCTATTCAGATCTTACTGAGCAATGCAGCTTACCTGATGCAGGCAGCACCGGATACCCATAACCACCAGCTTCGACAAGGGAGGCGGCAACCGCAGCTTCAAACTCAGCTTCCTGAGAGGCCTGAGCGCAGCACACAGCGTCGCGAAGCACATGCATGCAGTGTAGCACCGAGATTGATGAGGAGTAGAAACAGAAATTGGAAGTTTACTGTATTCTCGACGTCCTAGACTAAACCACGTGCAAATCACTGGTAAATCTATAGGAGAGCTTGATTCCGCAGTGGCTGACATGTAAGAAAAAGTTCAGGAAAAGCGAACATTTTTTCGGGATACAAGGGGCCATACAAAGCAAGTAGTCGATCTACATGTAGGACAAACCATCGGGTCCGAAATACAACGAGGCCGGTACATGGTTGCAGGGTTACGGCAGCGCCGGGCGCGTGTGGTGAGAGAGGAACAAGCACTGGTGGTCTGTATTTCTATCGTTGAAAAGTTCGCATGTCATTACACTAAATATCTACGCAAGACTACATTATATATACATGATGTCAATCAACCTCTGGACACTGAATGCTGGGTGTTCGGAGTTCGATAGGACACACACAGCAAGGCGACAAGGGCCGAACATGGCGGGGCGTGAAGCCGGCACCAACGGTTCACAGTTGGTGAGCTCTCACGACGAACGAAGAGCTTCAGAGCTCCGGGAAAGCCTCAAGACTCACAAGGGGAGTAAACTGGCTGGCGGTTGAAGCGGTGCAGCATTAGTGCATTGTTTGCTTCTTGCAGAACTCCGCTTCGTGTTCCAAAAACACGTCGTACAAATAACATCTCTTACTATTCTCTCCTGCTGAGTCCGGTTGTATTGCGTAGGGCTCCGCGCCATGCTGCGGATGTTCTCCAAGAAAACCTTCATTGTTCCCATCTTCAAGTACGGCGCGTCCAGCTGATAAAGACGGGCTTCTGTGGGTGACTGACCGATTGCTTTGTGTTCGGAGTGCGGAAGGACCGGGACTGATGTCACCGACACACGGGGGCACCCGACGATGGTATTCAACTGCACCTGGATATATTTTGCGAGACCCCTTGCGGCGGGAGCAAGCGAGCGAGGCCGAGAGAAGGCAAGAGCGGAGCACAAGACGCAACGGACCAAGCAACAGACACCAGGAGGGACGATCAACTTGCCTCGAGTTGTGCTTGATTTTGCGCACGTTTCTCCCCAGAAGCACACCGTGCTTTTCTGCTGATCTGTCACGAGATCTCCCGCCGTAGACAGACAGGGGGCGTTGAGAGAGCCCTCCCGTCTGCTGGAAATCTGCGCGGTTGTCCGGGGGGGGCAGAGAGCTCTACGGAACACAGCAAAAGGGGTGCTAAAGGAAGAAGGCCTGAAGTATGTCTGGGGAGGGTGATGAAGCGGAAAGACTCCAGGTGCTGGAGCAGTACAGAAAAAAGGTGAGGCAGGAACTGGTGTGCTCCCCCGTTGCAGTGTCTTGTTCTCGATTGTTCGTTGGTGCCACCTGCGCACACCCCGTTCAAGCCTCCCTCCGGGCTGCTCGTGGCGTAGCACATACCACCCTGTCCAGTGTACGGAAGACGCCGCTCCTGTTCCTCAGGCGCAGCTTGCTCAAGCAAGATGCGCAATCTAGAATATGTTGAATACTTCTCGATGTGTCTTCATCAGTCACCTGGAGTATCTCCCGGGATGTACATGACACAGGAGATATCTAGTCTTTTCTTCCCTCCCAAGTACCAGTACCTGTACGTAGTGGGCGCAAGCTATTCTATATCTTGCACACGCCTCATGGTAGGATATTTCAGAGAACACAGCAAGGCATCCACGCCGCATATATTTTCAAGCACAGCTGCTTGCAAAGCATGCTGGTGCTTTACAGGAAATTCATTCGGTGCGTAGAAAACAAACTCTTGCACATGTAACTGTATGAATAGGCCGATACCGGACACGCCTCGTGGACTCGTGGACTGGTCGTAAGGGAGCCTCGCAGACGTACATATTTTCTTGCGTTTCGTTGTGACTTCTGAGTGACTCCGACGGCCCCCAACTGTTTGATTGGCAAAATCCCCATCTGCCTGGTATGTCGCGTATGTGGGGGCTCTCCTGGCAGTGCATCGCAATGCAATGCAATGCATCCTTCTCGAGGTGTGCTGCTTTCGGCGTGTATGTCGGTTGCTCGGGCCGTTCGGTTTGTTCGGGACAGCTTGTGCGGCCTATCAACTTGGCAGTAGCTGGCGAAAATGCAATCAATCGTGCGACATCAACAGTTCCCCCAATAGCCTACCATCGATTTGCATGGAAAATCCCACGTGATGACCGAAGTTGTACATGCCAACAAGCGCGCACCGCGCAGAGATTCTCGTTCTTGCTATTGAGCCGGGCCTCACCCCCCCCCTCACTTTGGGCGTGGCCTGGGTGGGAAAAGGTGAGGGAGCATCGCGAGATGGAGACGCGTGTAAAGACCCTTAGAACGGAGACGAGGGACCTCGTGAAGGAGTACAACAAGACGGAGGATGACCTCAAGGCACTCCAGGTGTGTAAGTATGTTGCGTTCGCCGTGTGGGGGTGCTGTGTCGGCATTGTGGTCGTTTCAGCCGCGTGGACAGCGAATACGGCCAAGTTCTCTCTCCCCTCTCCACGAAGTTGACTGGGGTAAGGTACTGGCTGTCTCGCGGCTGTTGGCGGTGTGGATTGCTAGGGTAGCACTTCATTCCCCCCGCATGTCCAGCCTGATTGCTTCTTATCATCTCCCATCTATTACGACAGATCGTATCTAGATAAGCACCGACCAGTTCACCGACCGTGTTTCGCCCTCCCCCACACTTTTTTCGTGCGCCTTACACCTCCGGTATCCTGTAGAGTATGCATCCCACAGGCTTCCCTCCAATTGTGGCTTACGTTGCTTGTCGCCCCTCTCCCCTCTTGTCGTCTTGTTTGACTATCATCTGCCGGCGACAACTTGGGTGTGGTCCTTTATCACAACAGAGCGTGGGACAAATTATCGGCGACGTGCTGAAGCAGCTCGATGACGACCGGTTCATCGTCAAGGCGTCCAGCGGGCCGCGGTACGTCGTGGGCTGCCGCAGCAAGCTCGACAAGGCCGCGCTCAAGCCCAGCACCCGCGTCTCTCTCGATATGACCACGCTCACCATCATGCGGAAGCTGCCACGAGAGGTGGGTCTGGTGTTGGGTAGGTGCATAAGGTGTGGCTTGCGTGCTGTAGGGGGAGGGGGGGTACCGGAACGGGTGACCGCGCTCTGGGTGGTAGGTGGATATCAAGCTGCTGCTGCTGCTGCTGCTACAACCACCTACAAATGATGGCGCTGCCCCATTGCAACCTGTCTCTTGTTGACGGCATGAACAGCGAAAAATACGACGACGACGACCGATAGCACCAGCTTGTGGCCATGGTAGTGTTATTGTTGATGCTACCATGGTAGTCATGGTCGTGGTGTTTCTCGTTGTTCATGCCGTAAAAAACAGACAGCAGTCGTGCGAACGGGGCGTTTGTTTTTGGTTCTCTCCTCGGCAACGCGAACCTCGCAGCTGATCAGGCGTAGCTCCGTGGTTGTGCAATTGACGCCGTCAGTTTGCAGCGGCGTCACTGCTGTTTAGGCTCAAGTATACGCGTGTCACCCCGGTCCAGATATTGTCCCCAGAGCGGCGAGGGCACTGGCAGAGAGAGGCAGCGTTCGCTCCGTGTGCAGTACAACAGAGAGCACCTCTCATGAAAGATAGTCTCACTGCCCGGACATGGGCTCACCTTCGCTGCTGCTGCCTGGTGTTTTGCTCTTGGTTGGGTTGAGGCCTTCGACTTGCGCTGCCTTCGCGCATGCGTTGGCCTCTCTCGTCATTACCCCGCCGCTATTCGCCAAGTGCGTCCCCAGTCGACTCTTGTTTTTTTTTCGATTTTGGCCGTCGAAACTCTTCTGCCAGCGGCCCTCTGTGTACACCGCGACGCGACCGTTTTCACTTTTGTACTTGATAAGTTTTTTTTGGCCTTGATCCGGCTTTTTCTTGGGGCACACAGGTGGACCCCACCGTGTTCCACATGCTCAACGAAGACCCCGGGGGGATCAGCTTCAGCGAGATCGGAGGACTGGGAGAGCAGATCCGAGAGCTGCGAGAGGTGATCGAGCTTCCTCTCACCAACCCCGAGCTCTTCATCCGCGTCGGGATCAAGCCTCCCAAGGTAACGAACAACGTAGCGCCGGTTTAGTCGCTGCGTACGGGGTGGTTCACTGACATGAACACAAAGATGTTACAACACGTTAATGTGTTGCATACGTACGTATGTAGCGCCCCCCCCCGTTCTTGATCTGCGAACATATCGGCGAGAGCTTAAACCGCTCACAGATCAAGGCCTCATGGGGGGATTGAGTGTATGCAATCAAAATCAAAGACGTCACCCTCCGGTGAGGGTGGGACCATCCATCGGAGCTTTGCTCATGTGCCCAAGGTGTTTGCCCTCGTGGGGGCCAGAGACCGACCCCCCCCAGCTACTTTTTGTCTGAAGCGCTACGGCGTTGCGTTGGGCTACACTCAAGGAGGGGACCACGCGTCCCTCGTGCGTGCTTGCGTGGAAGCAAACGTGTGTGCTCGTTAAACTTAGCATTGGCCGCGCTATCCGGTCTCACTAAAGAACCGTCGTCAGAAGTCAGTGCGCCTACTATCGGGAAACGCTCGTAAGTGCCACGATCTCGTGTGGTATGCAAACGTGTATGTGAGTTTTTGTGCTTTTGGTGTTGCAGGGAGTGCTGTTGTATGGACCTCCCGGGACGGGCAAGACTCTGCTAGCGAGGGCGCTGGCATCCAACATCAACGCCACCTTCCTCAAGGTGATTGGAAACAGCAGTAGTGGAAGTACCCTGAATAAGGCCGATAGTATGGCCAACCGCCCTTCTAGAGAAGGAAAGGTAATCGCGTGACATGGTTGGCACATCCAAGCTGTCTGCCTCATGCTCTAGTTACGAAGCGGTGTGCGCCCGTCAAGGGTGCCCCTAAGCCTTGGGAGTGATTTTTTGGGGTCTGAAGAAGTTGACTGTGGTACCTACATGCAAGGATTTTGATGAATGTGTGGTTGTTTGTGTTGCGGTTGCTGCTGTTTTTGTTGTTATAACGAGTCGCCGTCATTATGATGTCGCCGTCGTAGTCGCTTCCTGCGTTCTTCTAGCTCGGTTCTGTCTCCTGCCCTACCTACTCCTGTCCCGTATCTGCCCGTCAAAGGCAGCCGCGTGCGCGTAGGAAAAAGAAGCGCTGCTGATGCATGTCCGCGCGCACGTAGTTGATGTTCGTAACCGTTGCTGTGTCTTGCTTGTTCAGGTGGTGGCCTCGGCGATCGTGGACAAGTATATCGGGGAGAGCGCCCGCGTAGTTCGCGAGATGTTCGGGTACGCAAAGGTGAGCAAGCAGCAGGCGGCGGCCGCCGTTCCTTGGGTTGCACGTCAGCTCAGCTGGCAGTGCAATAGTGAACAGCGTGCCATTCTACAGCATAGCTGAGTTTTAGTCTACACAAGGTAGGTATAGATGATCGGGGCTCCTGAAAGTGTGTCGGGGCCCATCTGAGTTGTGGAAAAAAAAACATAGCTCCTCGGAGTATCGCAATAATCTTCCCTGGCGTTGGCAGGATTTGTGGCTCATGGGTAATGATTGCGCCAGAGGCACACGCATCTTCCTCTCGGTTAGCTTGACGGCCGACCTTCTGCTGGCACGCCCGCTCCGCGTCTCTCTGTCTGGCCGGTCTCGTAGCGCCAGAGGTGTAACAGATAGCGCCCTAACGAAGCTCCCGGCTGGGCTGGCGACAGAGTTGTGAAGACGCCATGTACACGTTAGCGTGCTTGTCGCTATTCGCGAATTGGGGTAGGATGCCTGTTTTGCGCAACCTCTCGTCGTCGGTGTCCTTTGCTCGCCTTGCCGCAGCTTCCCTGCTGCAGCAGCATCATGCCCTGTTTAGTGCTCCTGACCCTGTGGCGGC